AAATAATGAATACTTCAAGAAGACATACTCGATGAGGGCCAAAGCTTTCCTTCAACACCCCAAGAAGTATTGTGCTTCCATGAAGAACACGACCACAACATGGAAAAGTGCATGCACCTCTGAATCCTGGTTGAGGAATTAATTAGAGCTAAGAAGCTCAAGAAATTTGTGATGCATAGAGTGGCAGTTTAATGGCCTTGAAAGGCTCCAATAAAAAAAATTAATGGATGAAACAATGAGGGAAAACATCATCCACATCACTTAGTTTGTGCCAACAATTTTTAGTGAGTTGAAGCTAGATGAGCAAATCAAAAGAGGCTCCGATCAGAAGGCTTTGCATGTTTTCCTTCGCTCTGAATGTAGCTCCTTCCACCAATAACATTCATCAATGAGAGCCTATCCCCAAAGGGAAATAATTACAATGACATCATTGTTTATAGGTGGGCAACGTTCTTGTTGACACGAGCAACTCAGAAACATTTTGTTTAAGTTTGTGTTTGACAAGTTGAACCCCAAGACCAACTGACTAGTAACACCAACCTAAGACCAACTAACTAGTAATGTCGACGGACCCACTCCACATATTTTCTTGCCAAATGAAGGAGGTGCTAAGGGAGAAAGTGATAAGCAATTCTATTACATGGAAGATTATCTGGTAGTGGACTCCAATCCAATCTGCAATACGATCTTTGGTCACCCTCTATTGAATGATTACAAGGTCGTGGTCTCTACAAACCACATTGTCATTAAGTTCGTTGATGACGGAGAAGTCATCATAGTTCAGAGGAATTTAGAGAAATCCAAGACCTATTATCTCTGAATGCTCAGTGACATCAAGCAGGAGCTGCTCGACCTCCAGAATAGGTGTAGATGGGGCCTTGAGACTAGTTAAACCATGCTTGAATTACTTGAAGCCAGTGGGTGAATGGTAACTCCTTACTAATAAGGAAAAACTTCGATGTAGTAATTAATGAAGAGTTGATCCATACCCTCAAAGAGCACTATGATGTTTTTTCTCAGTAAACATCAGAGATGTTGGGGATTCCGTTCGGCTGTGCTTGCCATTAGTTAGTGAACCCGGTCGCCTGACCGATGGGATAGAAGATTCAGTTTTTAAAGATAATGCTGACAGGGTCAATTCAAGAAGAAGTTTAGAAGCTAAAAGCAACAAGCTATATCCGGGAGGTCTAATACCTAATGTACATCTTAAACATTGTAATGGCTTCGAACGAATGAAAGATTGAAGAAGTGTGTGGACTTCAACAACCTGAACTCTTCCTTCCTAAAGGATAATTACCCACTATTGAGGATCGACATGTTGGTGGACTCAATAGTCAATCACACCGCTATGAGCTTCTTAGAGGTATTCTAGGGCTACCACCATATGAAGATGCATTCGACTTACAAAGGAAAAAAATGAATTTTATTACTATCAATGGTGTGTATTATTACAATGTAAGATCCTTTAGCCTTAAAAATACTGGGGCCACATACCAACATCTCATGGAAGTAATATTTTTAATCAAAGAGTAAAAATATAGAAGTGTATGTTGATGATACACTGGTTAAGCACCTTAATAGATAAATTTTTGGGCTACCTCCTAATCCCGAAGGCATAAAGGTTAATCCTGATAAAATGCAGGCATTATTGAACATGCCTTCTCTTCAAAACACTAAGGACATGTATAAACTAATTAGTTGAATGATAGGACTCGACAGTTTCATTTCAAAATTAGAGGACAAGTGCGTCACATTTTTAAAATCCCTTTGGAAAGCCAAAATTTTTTAATAGGCAATTGTCTGTGAGCAGACGATCATAAGTTTGAAGAATTCCTTAGCATCACCACCATTCCTACAAAGTTTGAAGCTTAATGAAGAACTCTCGCTGTATTTAAAGGTGAGAGCTGAGGTTGTCAGCTCTGTGCTAGATTTAGAATTGCTAGGATAGTAATTTCATGTTTACTACACTAGTAAATCAACTATTCAATCATGGAAAAACTAACCTTTACTTTAATTATTTTAATATGTAGGCTCTGACCATATTTATAAATGCACCCGATCTGGATCATCACCGACCACCCCTTAAATCCATGCTCACTCAATTAAAACACTCTAGTTTGCTCCTTAAATGGGTGGTGGAGCTCAGTGAATTTGATATCACCTAGATCACTAGTACGATGGTTAAAGCTTAAATTGTGGAAGACTTTTTGGCTCATTATTCCAAACAAGGTGAGCCAAATGAAGGAACAACTACCGACAAACAAACTTGGATCATATACAACGATGACACTTCAAACCAGTATGGAGCAGGCCTTAGACTCGCTTTGAGCTGTCTGACAAGAAATCAAATTGATCATTCAGTTTAGGTGGAGTTCGATGTGACAAAAAACTGAGTGCGAGGCTCTGATAGTAAGCGTACGACTAACTTACAAAATGAGATCTATACATCTACTGTTGTAGTTTTACTTGCAGTTGGTGGTAAACCAATTAAATGAAGAGTTCACAGACATAAATGAAATGATGGCCAAATATCTCAACAAAGTAAAAAAACAAAGATTTGGAGGTTTGCCTGTTTCAAAGCCATAAAATGTTGATGAATCTACTTAGGGGAAGGAACTCTACAGAATTTAGTATGACTGACCATCAAAGTACACAAGGTGATGGAAATGCAAAGTGAAGGGACATAAAATTGGAAGGGGAAATTGCTAAAGAAATTTCTGACCTATGGAGGTTCAAGTTTAAAGCTATGTAGTACCTAATGATCTAAGAAAAACTATTCTAGAAGTTAGTCCTCTTTGTGTTTGAGGTGTGTAGGGGAAAGTGAAATAGAGAATATCATCCATTCCTCTGAGAGATGCATTTCGGGGATTGTGGGAGCTACTCTGAACAAAGAATACTATTGCATAGAGTCCAATGACAGGAGTACTTTTGGCCAACATTGTTGAAGGATGCAAAAGACTTCTCTAAGTGGTGCGATAAATGTTGAAAGTATGCCCTACTACAATATTAACCGACCCACAAGCTTCAGTTGATCATGAAACTTTAACTTTCGCCATTTGGGGACTCGATATTCTCAGGAAATTTTCTCTGTTTAATGGCCATCACAAGTTTCTATTTATCATGGTCGATTATTTCTCGAAGTGGATAGAGAAAAAACCACTTTCTTGGATAACTGCAGAAATCGTCAAGAACTTCATGTGGACATATTTCATCTTTCTATATGACCTACCATTCATCATCATCACTGATAATGGGACATAGTTCACAAACAAAGGGGTAATGTATTTTTTGTCAAAGTTAGAGGATAAGCCTAAAGTTTGCCTTGATACATCACCCCACGAATGAATAACTAGGTATTGGCTGCTAACAAGATAATTCTGATCCTGCTATAAAAGAAGTTTGAGGAGCTAAGGGGAACTAAGTTGATGTTCTTTCTTCATTCCTCTGAGTGATTCAAATGACCCCTTCAACAAAAACTGGGCAAACTCCTTAAATGTTTTTTCAAGGAATGGAAGCAATGCTGGCGGTTGAGTACAATCATCATAGCAAAAGGGTTCACAACGTCAGCGTTCGATGAAGAGAACTTGGCCTACTTGCAAGAGGCGGACGACAACAAGGAAATGTTCGTACTTGATCTGGCTGAAGAAAATCGAACCAATTCAGCTCTTCGACAATAAGAGGTTCAGAGCAGTACCACCTGCTACTAAAACAAAATGTTTGGGAAATGAATTTTACCTCAGGAGAATTTGTTCTATGAAAAGCTGATCCAATAGCTCGTGAGAAGATGATCAGCAATACATGTTGATCAAAGAGTCGCCCTTTGAGCTTATAAAATGAAGACCTATATCCGATAATGGAGTTGCCCGAATGTGGAATAGAGAAAATCTTAAGTAATTCTTTCCTTAAACACTCCTTGTATCACCACAAAAAAAGGCATCTTCATTCCAATAAATTTGCAAAATTTTCCTTTTAAGAAATGTTTAAAACGTGAATTGGCTAATTAAATATGTCATCCAAAATTTGAACAACACTCGGGGAACTTACAAAGTTCGTACTACCATATGTTTGGCCAATGTTCCCATGACCAAATGTTTAATTAATACTTGGGGAGTTCAAACCTAAGCAATAGAGTCGACAACAATGCTCAAACGTCCAATTGGCGAAAGAAAGCCTGCAATACTCACACATCATAAGCCTGTTTCCAAACTCGATTGGGTATAACTCTGGAGGTAGTTTTTTTCCCAGTGGCCACATGCTCCGTGAAGTGTAACAAATAACCACAGAGTTGAGTCATGACGGTTACCCCTACGAAAGCAGCGACAATATTGACTTAGTATGCTTAGCACTGGGAGAATCCTGTCAAGGGTGGAGATCCGACCGAGACTCGACAAATGTAAGATGCGGGCCAGAGATCTACATAAAATAACCGACAACAACACAAGCCAATAGATCAGTGCAAAACTTACAAAATGACCAACAACAATGCAAGACATGTAATCTTCATTTGAAAATAAAATGGACTCTTCCTTATTCAAACAACAAACACCTATCTCTAAACTTGGGCTAGGTGAAGCTGTGGATGTGGTTTCCTGCTCAGTAGCAACAAACTCCACGAAGGGTACCGACAAAATCACCTCAGGGAAATACCACATCGATTTGTTCGTTCAAGTCAGAAACCCAATTAGACAAATGAAACATGTTGAATAAGATTTATGGTCCGTTTGGGACAAGTACCGACAAAATCACCTCAGGGAAATACCACATCGATTTGTTCGTTCAAGTCAGAAACCCAATTAGACAAATGAAACAGGTTGAATAAGATTTAAAATAGGTAGAAAATAAGTCAAAATTAGGATAAGCTGTTTATCCTGAAACGCACAAGCTGCCCCAAACACACCCTTAAACTAGGTAGAAAATAAGTCAAAATCTATATATATATATATATATATATATATAGATTTTATAGGAATTTTCTAATTTGAACATTTTCTTAAAATAATAATTTCTTCAACGAATCAATCCACTGATTACGAATGAATCCCACGAGCGAAAAAGCATCGAAGGGGCAAACGGCCGATCGGGAAAACGCCGTAGAGGTTTCGGCCGCAGAATCTCTTTACATGGCATCGAGCGATCCAGGCTCCATCTTCTACTAACTCTAGGGATTTCGCCATTACAGCTACACTTTAATTCGGAGATGAGTGACGAGAGATTCATCTCCTCTGCTTCTGCCGCCCGAGAAAACCCTAGGTCCTTAGGGTTTGCGCAGGATCGCCTAGGCCGGCCGCCGGCGGATTCGGCGCCGCGAGCAACGCCTTCGATCTTGGACCGCTTCCGTGTGATGCTTCGCGACCGGGAAGAGGATTTAAGGGGCTGTGGGGACGAGACCCCGCCTCCACCAGGCGAGAACGAGATCGTGCGGATGTATGGGGAACTTCTTACGGAACTCACTTTCAACTCGAAACCTATCATCACGGAGTTAACCATCATCGCCGGAGAACAGCTGGAACACGCTAGGGGGATCGCGGAGGCTGTATGCGCCCGGATTGACGAGGTGGGGGCTGGTATACTCTGCGGATCGTTGAACGGGCATTTTAGGGCTTCTGAAAGTCTGTTTTGGCGATCTGGATATATAAGGATTTTCAATTTCTTTGTTTGGAATTTTTATGGAGTATTGGTTTGTGATTGAAAGCTGATAAATTAATAAACTCCGTCCTTTTTTTTTATTTTTCAACTTTTTGATCTGATGTGGTATCAGCAGTTATCGGTGATGTTAAGTTGCAGTGATGTTGCTGTAACTGAAATGCGTTTCTCTATCATATCTCACACGCTCCAACTGATTCAATGCGAAAACAGCGCCTGAAAAAAAAAAAAAAGAAGCTTGGAATTTACTCGTTTTACATATATATTTATTAATTGGCTATTGGTCGTTGAGAAACTCTTTCTCCACGAAATGTGGTTTATTTCAAATTTAGCCACTTCTGTGAATAGTTTATATGTTTTAGCCAATCTGCAGTTTCGCTTCTGTGCGTGCGGTAAGACGTTATCATTAGGGGAGACCGCTAGAAGTTGTGGCAAAAAGTCGCTCTCTGACTGATAACTTACACTGATCCTGGATTTTTTGTTTCTCCGCTCTTAGGCTGTGTTTGGTAGCAAACTTCTTATAGGATTTAACCCTGGATTTCATCTAAATCCATCCAAGCACCAAAAAATGGAAATTCAAAGGTAAATCAAAATCTCTCACGTTCTGTCTGTTTCTCCCCTCTTTGTCTCTTCTGCGCCTTCAAACAAGATTTATCAAATCCGAGTAGGAGGCGGAGTACACAGATTTACGTCGCAGTTCTCGACCGCACCATCTTCGTGGCGAACTAACCGGAATCCGCGGATTTGATAAATCATATTAACGTAAATCTTCTGCTGCAACCAAACACTGCCTTAGGGTCCATTCGACTGCATATTAATGGAAAACAAGTTCCAGGAGATAGATTTTATTTTCATTTATTTTGTATATGAAAATAAAATCATTAAATTACATGCAGTTCTGTAGGGATTTGCGGAGTTTAGCAAGAACTCCTGTTGTTAACAATTCAACAAAAATGATGGAATTTTAAATGTTTCACTTTTTTCCAAAACATATTTTCTCAGTTCAAGCAACCAAATGGTCCTTTATATAACATTAATTATGATATTATCCTTTTCTGTTCGTTTTTGATGGAGTCCATCAGAATGTTAATTCTATTCATCATAACTGTTGCAGTGCATTGCTTTGCACAGGTCCCACAAGATCAAAAATTACCCGTGTTGTATCTTCTGGATAGTATAGTGAAGAACATTGGTGAAGATTATGTGAGGACTTTTGCTGCTAGGCTTCCTAAGGTGTGTGCTTGTTATCTGCTGATGCTGATGCTTGGCTTTTATCAGTTTTTTCATTCCTTTACTGCTTAATTATATGCTAAAAAGCCTCACCAGATTTCACTTCTTAATTGTAATTTAAAAAGTCTCATTTAGATATGTATGTGTGACTGCATTGTTTTTTAACACAGAAAGCAGCTGCATATATAATTAAACATGGGGCAGCCCAGGGCTGTGTTTGTCATACCCCTAGTTCCAGGCTATGTAAATCAGCAAGTGCTTGATATTAAGCATCTTAGTAGCTGTACTTTTAAGTAGCCTGTTACCATGCCTCGACTCAATCTCCCTCATCATTTCCAAATAAGGGCTTAAGTTGTTGCCTCTCTCCAAGTTTCTAATATTTCCATACCTTTTATACTTAAATTCTTCAATTCTTTCCAACTTTCTTATATTTCCATAACTGTTATACTTGAATTCTGCAATTCTGTCATGGTTATACACATACTCTTAAAAAAGTGCCAGAGTAATTTGTTAAATTGTTTTGTTTTATTGTTCTTTTCTTAATTGTTTTTTGCAAAACTCTTTTGCTCTTCAGTTTAGTTGTCATATCCTTTAGTGAAACTTCTATATGTCAATGAGACTTATATATATATATATATATATATATATATATATAATGTTATATATATATATTATGCATTAACCCCCACCCCACCGCACACCACTGGTTCTATTTCTTTCTCACGATTCAGAGTGTTGTGGAGCTGATTCTTTTCTGAAATATTTTGAGCCACAAGCTCAGACCACATGCTGCAAGATTGAACACCCGGGAAAATAGTTTCAATGCAGGCTAGCTGACAGAATTTGTTTATGTTTGGTTGTTGCTATGTTCATATTATAAAGAAATTATTTATGTTTGTTTGTTGCTATATGGTAAAGCACTTTCAGTGCTGGTCACCTGTTAAAATTTGATTATGTGTGAATATTGCTGTTCATTTTCATGTTAATTAGAAAACGGGCCTGTGTTTTTTTATTGATTGGGCTGTTTTCTTAAAAGGAGTCATTTTTTCTTTAGTTTCATCGTTTTCTTGTAGTGTGTTTTGGGTTGTTGTATGTCATTCTAGTTCAAGCACGATGTAAAATGCAGTTCATCAAGTGAAAGACTATCTCTTTTCGTGTTAAATTCTTAGTTTACATGGCAGTGAGAAAATAGGTTAAAAAATGGCTCTCAAATGTACTCGACATACTTCTTAAGCTGTTAGAAGTTTTGGTTGGACTTTCCATTTATCCTATTTTTACCCATCTGCTAGGTGCCTAGGACCTGGTGGATTCATTGGCTAACATTTAAGATTGCAGTTGAGAATTTATATCAGGGCGATATTGTAAAAGGGCTGTAGAGAGGAGGAAGCTAGTTTGGGAAAGGTGATGGAGTTAAGACTTAAGATGGTAAGAGTGATGGAAAGAGTTCACGTAGACCTAGCTGATTGACGTCATAAGAAATCTTTCTTGTATGCCTGACTTTAATGGATGTCTTGCGAAAGCACTTCCATGCCATTCAGGCCCCATGTGGTGGCACAACTAGGATGTTTTAACTAACATTTGAGAGCCACACATATTTTTCTTTTACTACCTCATTGTTTCATCAATCAATCAATGTATGAATATGGTCTCAATTTCTTTTGCGTTGTGTCTATATGTTTTGATTTATGGCAAGGGATCTCAAATAGATACCTAGAGGAGCTTCACTCTTTCTTTTTGATAAGTTTGATCTAGAATCAATAGATTTGATTTGAATTTTGCATTCATTTGAGAGCAACATAGAGAAATCCTTGTGTTTTTGCACATATTGAGTGGGTTAGAGTCAAATAATTTATTTACTTTGCTATCGGTGAAGGAGGGCCAAATCTTGTAATAAGGTAGGTTTCTTAGTTTACTTGTTTGGGAAGGAAAACTGAACTAGCATGCTTCGACATATAATGAAGTTAGATGAACTACTTCTAGTTGGTTTTCCGGTTCTATTGGAACAAATTTGCGTGCCTAACTTGGACAACTGCTGAGACGTCTATAATCTTTGTATGGAAGAAAGGAGAAATTCATTAAAAGTGAAATTAATTGGTATTGTTGAAGTGATAATATTTTTTTAGTTACTGATACAGCTAATATGTTATAACTGAGTTATTTTATTGTATTTTTATTCGGTGATACTTTTGTAATATTGCCATTATTGCACATCGATTAATTCATATTAAATTTCTTGTTATGATGTATCTGATCAAAAGTTCTATTTCCGTATCTGATATTGTGTTCTTGTTTCAACCGCCAGTGTGTTATTCCTGAGATTATCCGCAATTCTACCTCAGTGATATTTCCCAATTGATTAATTCTCTATTACCTCTCCCTAGCTAGTCTTACATTCAGTTTGTATTCCTTTCTACTATGACATGGGTTGAGGTGTTTCCATTAATCACAAGGATGGTTGCTTTTCAATGACCTCCAAAATCTCTGGATGATTATTTCATTCTTAGAAGTTATTTACTGATTACATAATGTGCACAAATCAATTCATCTCCACCACCACCATTCAAAGAAGAATTTATTTTGGACCGGGCGAACTGATGTAGGGCAAAAGTGGATTCATCCGATTTTCTCCTTATCTTGTTTTTAAGTATATGCTTATTTCATTTTAACTAATTTTAAATATTTCATATGGAATAAGAACATATTTTTTTCCTTCTGCCTTAGCTGTATCAACTTTTATGTGGGTATTTTCAGGCTTGAATGTATATAAAGGACTATTCTTGAATTAGGGATCTTCATATGTGGTTTTTGCTTGAGTGTTGTGGAAACCCTAGTATTTTAATAATCCCATACTTGGAGCATCAACCATCAAAACCCAATGATATCGAACTTCACTTCAACTCATCATATGGGCTGGGTCACTCCCTTGGATAAAAGCAAATGAAAGGATAGATAGTAGGCATCTCCCGGGAAGCCCATGGTGTAATAATGCTATGATTGAACTTTGTTGAAGATAATGTGAACTTTTGAAACTCCAAGATTTGCCATTGTTTCTCCTACTCATTTGAATATCTTTGTTATGAAGATAAAACTGGAGCCATCATGCTCGTATTTAATATTCTGACAAGCATGCATTGCAATAATTCTGTGGGTCGCTGTCAAAATCAACAAGGGCAGCATTGAGCAATTTTTTGAATACAAAGGTGTTGAAACCAAATGACACCCAAAATAAGCGTCCTATCTAAACACCTTTTATTTCCAAGCCCAACCTATGCTCAACTAATGCGCTTTAGACCTGCTTAACCTGTACCATAGCTTTAGCAATGTAGATCCTTAAAATTGTTTTGAAGCTTGGATTCTGGAAGGAGGATTGAGGTAATTCTAGTTGCCAGATGTTCTTCTTAATTCTGAGCTTACATTCCTATTATGATCTTCATGCCCATTCTTCTTTTTCCATCATTAGTGTGATTAGTGATGTTTTCCTTGTGGCCCTTAATTGTCTCTTATATTATCGCAATTTTCACAAAGACTTGTGTGCCAGTGTTGATGTATGTGTAGAAATTACTTGGCAAGGAAAATTGCTTGATTTATTATTCACATATAGGGTACATATATATCGGGAAACTAATCCCACTTAATTTACAAACTTACCAAATATATCTAATCTATATTTGGAAGATAAATATTTTGAATTAAAAATAGCAAAGAACATAAATAGGAAGACAATAAAGCTAATTAAGAAGTTCGCACTCCCAATCTAATCTTGGGAGATTGAAGGGTGGTTGGTTGGCCCTTCAAGACTTCTTCCAGGCTTTTTAACACTCCCCCTCAAGGTGAATGTAGATGTCATAGAGACCAAGTTTGGTATTGAACTCTGATATGATACTTAAAAGAAGAGTTTTGGTGAAGACATCAACAACTTGTTGGTATGTAAGAATTTAGTTTAGCTGTATAATTCCACCTTTAACATTTTCAAAATTGACTTGTCTATCAACTTTAATGTGCTTCCTCTTCTTATGATGCACATAATTCTTGGTAATACTTATAGTAGTTTGATTGTCATAAAATATCTGTATAGGCTTCTTAGAGGTTCACCACAACTCCCTTAACAATTTATGAATCCAGATCCCTTCACAGATTCTTAAGGCGAGTGCCATATGCTCAGATTCTACACAATTTCTAGAAATAACTTGCTTCTTATTTTTCCATGTAACAAGATTTTCTCATACATAAGAGTAGTAATCTGTAGTGAACCTTTAATCAGTGAGTTTCCCAGCTCAACTAGTACCGGGTTGACTTCTATTTCTCTTTTTCTAGTTTTCTAAAAAATTAATCAATAATCAAATGTCTTCTTGAGGAACTTCAAAATCTTGTACACCATCTTGAAATGCTCTTCATTATTCATGTGTTTGCTCATAATATTGATAAAATAAGCAAACTGGCCTAGTATCTGTCAAGTAGATGAGTTTTCCTATCAATATTTGATATATTTCCTCTCTCTACATATATAATTTCTTCTACCTTGTTAGACTTCTTGTTGGGATCTATTGGAGTATTAGTAGGTTTGCATCTAATCATCTCTATCTTCTTTAAAAGATCTAGGATGTATTTCCTCTGTGATATAATGATGCTTTTCTTGGACCTTACTATCTCTATACCAAGAAAACATCTTATGGTTCTGAGGTCTTTGATTTGAAATTCAATGGCACACACTTCTTTGATCGTGAAATTTTTCTTTTCGTTATTACTAATCAGAATCATATCATCCACATATACCATCAGGGCATCAATCTTATTTTTCTGAGTGTTTTTTGTGAATAGAGTATGGTCAACTTGACATTGAGAATATTCATTAGATCTCATAGTTTCAACAAACCTTTCAAACCATGTCCTTGGTTATTGCTTAAGCTCTTAGAGAAATTTTCTAAATTTGCAAACTAGATGTTTGTTGGAATTATTCTCAAGTCTTCGTGTGTATCTCCATGTATACTTTTTCTTCTAGATCT